AGGAGGCGACGATTGGTACGAAATTGTCAAAATTAGGACATAGATTAAATAATTTTAAAAATATGAATATAGATTAAATGGGAACGACCAAATAGAGTACCCCGTACAATTTTTACTTTACTGCCGTCACTGGTAGGATGTTAATTTCATGCATTTTCAGTTATCAAAAGAGAAAAAAGATTGCACAACAAGTAATAATTGCTTTAACGGATATGGGCACACTCATTTACTGATATCCACACACGCATTTATGCGATCACTTAGTTGAAACGTGAATTATCAAACGGGAAAATTACGGAGCAAATTATGTTATATACCCATGAAAGACAAAATATTTACCCGTATCTACCCATATTCATTTCTATTACAATTTATACCTATGCAACACATTTATTTTACCCGCTCTACCCATTCTTATCTTTGCCATTGCTTAGCATGAAACTTCATATTGTCAGATTCATATGCACCTTTGTTGTATCTTTTAAATGCACCACATTTCCTAATATGTTTTATATCTTATCATAATAATACTAATTAAAAATAATATAATATCATATTTATTAAATAATATATAAAGTTATAAAAATATATGAACTTGGAGAGCACAAAAATATATTATTATTATTATTATTATTATTATTATTATTATTATTATTATTATTATGTTGAAGATCTATTATTTGATTTGATGTGGGTGCTATAAAATATTGCTTATAATATCTCTGAGTAAGCTTCCCAGATCTAAATTTTTATGTGTATTTGAATATCCAGCATTGTTGGGCTTGAAGCTCAATTTTATTTTTAAAGATTTCTTGTTTGATTCAAAGTGGGTGCTGTTAAATATTGCTTATAGTACCTTCTGGAGGTTCGTACTGAAATTTGATAGCGTTTGGAGCTGATTTGAGGTGATTGAGATCGAAATTTTTAGTTCAAAATCGAAGAAGAACACAGCTACAATATACCACTACGGTATACAATATATTGTAGGAGTATATAGCTATAATGCAACACTATACTATTATAGTTTACAAAACAGTATACCGCTATAGTATACTAATATAATATAGGAGTATATAGTTATATTGCAACAGTATACTATTATAGTGTACAATATATTGTTATGGTATACTGTAATAATATGCAAGATACTGTGGCAATATGTTGTAATAGTATACAATATACTATAATAGTATACTTATTACTCGTAATTTTACTTGTCTTTTCCCTTTTAATTTGTTCTAAGCTTTTACCCATCGTGAGGGGCAAACTAAAAATACTATACATATATATATAGTATGCTATATGATGTAACGGTATACTCTTACAATTAGATCCTTTTAGAATTTTTTCAAATTTTTTTGACAACTGATAGTATTTCATTTTAATAATTGAATTAAAATTTGTTTAACTCTTTGCATATAATTGTATACCCTGTTGGTGTAACTATATACTATACTGGTATCATATGTTAGTTAATATTTGTTTGGTTGTATTAACTACATTTAATTGGTACACAATTTTATTTTTCTTTAGTAATAATATAAAAAAATAATAATAAAAAATAATAAAAACAGTAAATGAAATTAGATTATGAAGAGAAAAAGAATTAAAAAACAGAAGTTAAATGAAATTAAAAAAGGAAAAAAGAAAAAAATAAGAAGAAAACGAGAAAAAAAGTAGAAAAGAAAAAAAAAAAGAAAAGAAGCATAGAAATAAAAAAGAATTGGAGAATAAAGAAAAAATTTCCACACAAAACCTACTATGGGTAGGAAATGCAATTAGTTTATGGGTAGGAAAACAAATGGGTAGACAAGGGTAAATAGTTTTATTTTTGTGGGTAACTGTGTCAAAACCCCAAAATTACGCTCCTTGTCACTTGGCCTAATAGTCCATCAAAAAATGGCCCACGTTTGAAGCTCTTACCTCATATGGCCCAGGTTGTACATAATCTGAAAGTTATTTTTCACCAGTTAGCCCACCCTATTTGTTTTTCTTTTCTTCGTTCTTCTTCTTCCTCTTTCACGACATTGCACCCCAAAAATTCTTTACCATTATATATATTCTTCAATTCTCCTTCCAGATTCAAAGTTTATAATCGCTATTAAGATGAGAAGAAAAAATACCACTTAAGAGAATTATTATTTTTGGAGTCACCATTAAAGGTCATTCGAAGCTTCAATTTCAGAAATTGGATTTTTTATTTTTGTTAGTTGTTTGGATCGGGTGTTGGCCCAATTGATTGTGATCGTCAAGGGGAGTTCAAAACTCAAATTTGAAGTGATTTGGAGAAGATTTGAGTTGAATTTCGGAAGATGCCCAAAGAAGAAGATGAATCCGTGAAGCTCAATTAATAGGATTCATTTGTATAATAGTGTATAAGTATTGTATAATGGTGTATAAACACCTCTTTTACATTATTTTATACAAGGTTAATACATTATTTACAGGTATTTGGTGGATTTCTAACATTTCTTCTTCCTCTTCTTCAACTACTACACCTATATACAACTATACATTTTTATTTTATATATATATATATATATATATATATATATATATATATATATATATATATATATACCTCTTTGTATAAAAATGTATAATCATCTCTGACGAATTTTTTATACGATTTTTACTTGCAATTCTTGATTGAAACTATTCCAAATCTCCATTAAATGACTTCAAACTTCGTATACAGTCTACTTAGACTAATTATAATAAGTTCAAACGATACTCACTCCAAATTTCTCACAAAATCATATTCAAAATCTAACAAGATTAGCATCAAGGAAGATGAGATTTTAGATTTCTCGCGTTTGTTTTTTATTTTCGTAGTTGTGATAGGTGTGTAGAAATTTGAGGAAAAAAGAAAATGGAAATGTTTCACGCTTGAAGATATAGAGCATAAAAAACTGGAAAAAAAAACAGATCTAAGCTTATTGATATTTGGCTACACATTTGCAACTTGTAAGTGGGCTAAAATAATGCAAGGTCAACTTATGGAGTGCATTATTATGTAATTTTGTCATTATCAAAACCGTGTGAAACTTTTTATATCATCTTTGAATCTCTAAATTTATTTCTTTTTCAGAAAACGGAATCATTTTATAGTTTGTTCAACACCGGTCAATATTAAACCTGAGAAAAAAAAAACGTCCATATTTGTAACTAATTTTTTTTTATTTAGTCTCATTATGTAATTAATCCGTTGTCTTATCGCAATACCATATGACATGTTGAGTGTTTCCATATCGGATGGGTTAAGGTTGTTTGACCTCTTTATAATGGTATGTGAAACTGTTGTCGCAATTGCGACAAGCGCTTTTGCGCGCGATGGGACCTTCGCATATTTGCAATGTTCGGCGCATTTGTAAGGTTTTTGGTAGTATTTGCAACTTCTGTGCTCAGGGTGTTAGTTCTCATTTGCGAGCTAGGGTGTTAGTTCTCATTTGCGAGCCCTGTATCGCATTTGCGAACACCTGCAACTTGTTATTGTGAGGCATTTCGGGATTTAAGCTCATTCTTCCATTTTTTGAACCTGGGAGATGCGATTTTGGCTTGGAGATTTTCAAGTTTGAACTTGGTTTTGGAATCTAATCATATATTTGGACTCGTGGGGTTATGGGTAGTCGGGATCTACCCCTTGACTCAGATTTTAACCGTGTGGGCCTGAGTTGACCTGTATTGACTTTTTGGAAATTGAATAAAGATCGAAGCTTTATCCTATTGGAATCATCAAATCACCACTCCACCCGAGATAGTTCACTCAAAAGTAAAACCTTGATCAATTTTTCCAACTTAAAGCTTCCAGATTGAGAATCGCTTTGACAAAGGGCAGATCAGTACATATATAAATGTTCGCATAAAATGGAAGGAGTAACTTTCTCGAGAAATACAAGAGCAAGACCTAGTTAGGGTAGAATATTTTGAAAAATATAGTAGTTACCTACAATAAAAGGATACATGACAAAGCGCAGATCAGTACATATATAAACTATAATGGATTCATGATTGCATGCTTATAGCTGAGGTGAGCTCATATAATTTGCAACCAATCACAATTCACTATTATACACTATTTTTCATCAAACGTGGATTCTGATGATTTGTACGGTGAGGACGAGAGTAAAAACACGAAGGGTGATGTCGTGCACGTGTTACTGTTTCCTTATTCCTGTTGATATCATTATGGTGTTCTTTATGCTTTTCTACTGAATTTCTGTTAAGTATTTGATATCCCCGCAGCATGCTTCCCTTCCCATCTTTATCTATTATTTTCTGTTTTTATTATCCGTTTGTACGTGATTTAAATGCACAGGTTTATATGGTTGTCGTGTCGTAGCCTTGTCACTACTTCACCGAGGTTAGGCTCGACACTTACCAGTGCATGAGGTCGGTTGTACTGATACTGTACTCTGCACTTTCTGTGTAGATTTCGGTGCTGGACCTCGTGAGTAGATCGTGGCTTGCTGCCTTCAGTCCATAGGAGACCCGAGGTAGATCTGCCGGCGTTCGCAGACTCCGGAGTCCCCTTCCTTATGTTTTGATATACTGTCTCTTGTCATTTCGAGAACAGTTGTACTTTTCTTTTTAGACCAGTGTTTGTAGACATTCGTAGATGTTCATGAAATTGTGACACCAGATTCTTGGGTAGACATATACTGGAGTATTGATTTTGTTATAACACTTCCGTGCTTTATATCTGCTTAGTTTTAGTTACTGTTTATATCTGTTTGGGTTGATTGCTAGTATGTTAAAATCATAGTAGTTGGCTTGCCTAGCTTTCACGAGTAGCTCGCCATCATGATTCCGGAGGGTGGGATATCCGGATCGTGACAATTGACTTTTAGGATAAATATTGAAGCTTTATCCTATTGGAATCATCAAACGAAGCTGAGATCATATTCTCAAAAGTAAAATCTTGGTCAACTGTTCCAACTTAAATGGAATCACTTTGACAAAGTGTAGATCAACACATATATAAAGGTTTGCATAAAATGGAAGGAGTAACTGTCTCGAGAAATACAATAGCAAGACCAAGTTGGAGTAGAATATTTTGAAAAATGTAGTAGTTACTTACAGAAAAAGGATATATGACAAAACGCAGATCAGTACATATATAAACTATAATAGCTGAGCTGAGCTTGTATAAATAGCAATCAATCACAATTCACTATTATATCAAAACTGTATATATTATTTTTCATCAAACGTGCAGTGGAGTAGAATTAGGTGGGGTAACAGCTGAGGAAATTATGTGCTTTCTTCCACGTTCAGATCGGCTATTCTCTGCAAATTTAATACTTCCATGGTGGAGTCCTTTTTGTTTCTCATCATCAGTCCATTCTGAACAATAATAGTGTTCTTCATTGTACCTTTTATCTTTTGAAGCTGGAAGGAACATACTTCCCCACTGTGGAAAATGAATAAAAGCTACAGGGACAGTACAAGCCACAGCCATGAACCCCATCCAAGTTAGCCCCGTCGCTGTAGAAAATCTTGTTGTTGAGAAGAAAACCAACTGTGTTAAGCCTCCTCCAAAGTTGCCTCCAGCTCCAGTTAAGCCAGAGATTAAGCCTAATGATCTTCGCGACACGAAAGGGATGACACCATAAGTAGCACCACATGCAGCTTGAGCTCCAATGGAGAACAAGATCATGGCTACAATGGCTGTGGGAAGGGTTTCTGCTTTGCCAAGCCAAACACAGAATACTCCTCCAAATGTTTGCACTATCCACAAGATCCATAGCCTTCCTCTCATCCCAAATTTTCGTGCTGCTAAATCAGAAGCATATCCGCCAAAAGGACGAGCCACAAAGTTGATCATGCCATATGTTGCAGCTATAACTCCTGCTGTGTGAAGCTTTAAATTGAACCTGTAGACATATTTTTGTATGTTATTATGAGTTTCAAGCAAAGGAAGTTCTAAATTGTATTAATAGGCTATGAATTACCTGTCGTAAAAGTACTCTACGATGACATTGTTCATGCAAAGTTGAACTCCCATAGAAAATCCGTAGATGAAAAAAAAGACCCATGTCCTATAATTTGTCACTGCAAACCAAAATATCTAAACATGAAAGTCGGTCAGCTATATATATATGTGTGTGTTTTTTTTCTAATATAATTAAGGAATGAGATTAATAACTAACTTTAGAAAATTTATCCTTGTGTACATGACCCCTCTTTTGGAGGGTACTAAGATTACCATCTGGCAAGTCTTGGCCAAGAATCAAGACCATAACCCCAACGATGATATGAAGCCATCCAGGGATGAAAAAGGCAATACGCCAGGCAGTGAATGGAGTTGCTCCAGTAAGTTGAATTATGTGAAAAAGGAAAGGCATAAGAAGTTGAGTGACACCACCTCCCATGTCTCCCCACCCAGCTGCAACACCATTAACAAGCCCAATAATCTGTCCATTAAACATGGTACTCGTCCAATATTGGCATGACACAAATGTTGCCAGTGAAACTCCAATCATGAACCGAACAGCTACGTATCCCTGAGCTGATGACACAAAAGCAACTGAGAAAACAACAGGGGCTGTTAACAGATTGACAAAGGCACAGCCATATCTTGGTCCTATTAAGTCACACAGTACACCCATGACAAGCCTCGAGAAAATGCTGCCAGAAACAGAAGCAACACCAGCATTGCCAATGTCTGATCTTGTCAAATCAAGATTGTCCCTAATTATGGGAACTAGAGGAGCAGCAGCAAAAGTGGAGATCAAACATGTGAAGAAGGAGATCCAAGCAAGATGAAAGGATCTCATATGGGGTTGAGCAAATGAGAAGATTTGCAGAGTTTTTGCTTTGTGTTCTGAATCGACCGGCAAAGAAAATTTTGTAGCTGTGTCATCATTATCAGAGGGGTGAGGTTGAGATGACACAGAGAAGGCAAATGTTTGTTCTCTGCCAGTTAAACCATGCACAGAGCTGCCAATGGGACCTTCAGTATTAGCCATTATAGATATTTCTCACCCCACAAAAGAAGCTGTTTCGAGAAATATTTATGACAACAGCTGAAGAGAAGAAGCTAAGCAGAAATCTTAATGTGATTGTGGTTCTTGGAAGGGAAGGCCACGGCAATATTTATAATGTCAGAGCATTGACATTGTGAAAGCTCACCGATTGTTGGCATCACCAAACAAGTATTTCTTCTGGAGATGTGTCATAATATCGACACGAAGTTTCGTTGAAAATTCGTAGTAGTATACGTAATAATTAAGCGCTAGCTATATTCCTTTTATTTGAAAATAAATGTTACTACTAATAATTTCGTTTACTTTGCAAAATGAGCCCTGCTTGTTAGTTACTCCCTCCGTTCCAATTTATGCGAACATGTTTGACCGGACACGGAGTTTAAGAAAAAATGAAAACTTTTGGAATTTGTGGTCCTAAACAAGTCAAAAAGGGGCCAGAGTATTTGTGTGGTTATAAAAGCTTCCCATTAATGGCAGAATTCTAAATTTAAGCTAAATTGTTACTAAATTTAGAAAGGGGTCAATTTTTTTGAAACGGACCACAAAGGAAATAGATTCAAATAAAATGAAATAGAGGAGTAATACATAATCTATTCGAGGGATCCAATGGGATCAATAATCGCTCCATTTATTTGGGATTTTGACTAACCTTCCTTCCTTTTACACTCTCGGGTGATCTTTCATGCCGGTTCCGGCACTAATGGATATGATACCAGTAGTTATGGTACTTCTGCCTTCGGTACTATATGATCTTGCTTTGTTAACCTATATATATGTTAGGCCTTGATTAGGCCTTGATTTGTCCACCCGGTAGTTTAGTTTTATCAATATGGATAGTCCTCCTACTTTCTGAATAATTTTAGGAAAATTATTCGAGAAACGGTAAAGAGTATTTTGGCGCGAATTAAAAGAATATTTGTCTTTTCCGCCCAAAATTCCCGCTGGGTGCTATAGAAGCGAAACATCGTGCATCACTTGCATTTAACACGTGATGTTATGTGATTGGCTCTAGAATTTACGGTGGTTTCCTAGGCAATGATGGCTCTATGACTTCAAAGAGAAATAATCCAAAATTTCTATTATCTTATTACTCTTTAAACCTTCTCATCTTCTCTTCTTGCTGTCGTCTTTACTTTACTCACTTCAATCATGCCCCCAAGACTCTATTCCGTATGTTTCTTCATATCCTGAATCCTTCTTTCGTCGCACTACCACAGTTGACGAGTTACTAGATACTACGCTACTAGGTCTAGAAGAGGAGAAAGGCTTCGTAGCCTAGCATCCATTTCAACCAGAAGTGGTTCCTAGTGCTATGGAAGTAGATGGAGAAGCCGCATATTTTTATGCCTGGGTAGTGCAAATGTTATCTTCAGCCCATGGATCGAAAGACATGGAGATATATCTCTGAGAATTTTGATGGAGAGTAAAAACTCGCGGCGATCTATGTTTCCACTTCCGTTAAATAATATAATGTTTCTTTTCCAAATAGAATAATTTGACATAGTCTGGTAAGATTTGGAATTCAAGGATTTTAACTTATTGTTCCGATTGTTAGACTCGGAGTTAATGAGGCCCAAAAACATATTTTGACGTTAGCTGCATTGAAAAGAAAGAGAAAGGAAATTCATGACTCCAAAGAGAATAAAGAAGAACCGGTTACTCTTATTAAGAAGAGGTGTAGATCAAGAGAAAGCATGTTGAATCAAGGGCTGACCGGAGCAATTCCCAAATGAACCCTTCTGAAACTCAGCTTCAGCTTGTTGATGAACCTGAGAAATCTCTGTTTGTGGAAGTTGAAGATAATCTTAAAGTGTCGATTGCGGTGTCTATTGGGGATTTATTTAATACCAATTTTGGTGGTTATGATGGTAACGACCACCCTTCCACCTTTTTTGGTGAAAATTGAACTTTAGTTCCCGTGCTTCCTTCTTCCCCTATAGCTCAGGGACCAGTCCCTATTGTCCTTGCTGAGGATGAGGCTGGTCCCTCTAAAAACGAGTAAATGGGCCAAGCTGTAATATAAGTTCCTGGAGAGATCAATCTCCTAAGTCATCCTGACCGGGCTACCTATGGGTTGAAAAATCTTGTTGGCCCCCTTGAGAAGAAAAGGTATAAATCTTGTTCCTTCTCTTCTTTTTTTTTCTTAAATCCCTAAATTTGAAAAATATTTCAATCTCATTTTAATGCTACGGGTTACTTTTACTTGTACAAAGTTCATGAAAAGAAATTCATGGTTCGAGAATCATACTACAGAGTTAATCGTAGAGACTGGTGACTGGAAAGCCCGATTTGAAATTCATAAAATTGAGAAAGAAATTTTGTATCGAGAAAGGATTCTCTCCAATAACAAGTCAAAGTGGTGATCGTAGATCTAGCAACAGAAAGAGCGGAAGTAAAATAAATAGAAGGAAAGATGGACGAAATGGAAGTAAATTTTGTTGAACAACACTCTAAGGCTTTTGAAAAGGCTGGTAGGTTAAAAGAACTTGTTGATCAAAAAGAGGTGTATTGGGCCAATGGTTTCAAGAGAACACGCTCGCAAGAGAAGACCTTCGTGCTTCGATGGATAAGGTGAGATTTCTTGAAACATCTTTTAATCCCTTGAGAACCTCACTTGATGATTCTAAAGAGAAAAATAGAAACCTTCGTGCTAAAAATGAGGGTTAAAAGGAGAAGTACGAAGCTCTTGAGATTTAGTCCATGATGGACGTAAGCTGGACATTACATACTCGTTGTGACACGCTGAAGAAAGCTCTTGATGAGTCTTTTGTAGCAGCCCAATATGTTATGCTTCAACAATTAGAAAAGGTTGAAGAAGTAATTGAAGCAGCCCAACAAGTTATGGTTTCTTCCTCTGAAGATAATTCTTTTGGAGATAGGTTGAACCTATACTTACCAGATGAGGAAGGCAGGGATGAGTACACTGAATCGCTTCCTTAGACCCTGGCCCTTCTAGTTGATCCTCCTCAAGTTGATGCTTCACCTTCTTAAGTTTCTTCACAATTACAAGTTGCTTCCCCGAGTTCCAGAACTAACCTATGAAAACTACTTTCTTTTGGTTTTAAGATAGTTTCTGATGGGCTTTTTTGCCTAATGTTAAAAGACAATTTTGCATGTTCATTTTCTTGCTTAATTTTCCTCTGAGGAGGAATTTTTTGCTTGATAATATTTTTCGTTTCTTAGATATTTTTTACTTTGTTTTTTGCTATCTATATGAAATTTCGTAGCCTTGTTTGAGGCTAATTTCTCTATTTTTAATTGAGTCCATTCAGGCTTTGATATAAAAGAGCGCCCTCTTATATTTTTAAACTAACGAAGATGACGCCTCATCTTCATGTTCGGTATAAAATAGGATTGAGCATCCTTATAAAGTATACAAGTGCTAAACAACTTGAGATATAAATCAACTTTTCATAATGCTTTGAAATATGCATTTGTTTATGAATAATACAATCACTTTTCAATATGTAATGACCCGACCGGTCGTTTTGTTTATTTGAGCGCCATTTTCCTTTTTGGTGCTTCACAGATGTGCATTTGTAGTTTTATGTCTTGTCGGGTTGGTTAGTTTTATTCCGGGAAGATTTCGGGTTGATTTGGACCCTTTGGTTCTTAGATTAGAAGGCTAAGTTAGAAATATTGACCAATGTTTGCTATTTATGAAAACGATCCTGGAACGGTATTTTAATGGCTCGTATAGGTTCGTATCATGATTTTGGACTTCGGCCTATGCCCAAAAGCTAATTCGGAGGTCTATATATTGATTTGTGTTGTTTGTCGAAAGTTAGCAATTTGAGGTTTATAAGTTTTTCCAATTTTGACCGTAGGTTGACTTTTGGTTATCTGGTTCAGAATTTGGTTTTGGGAGTTGGAATAGGTAGTTTATGCTATTTAGAACTTGTCTGCAAAACTTAGTGTCATTTGGAGTTGATTTGATAGGGTTCTGACAGTTGGTTGCAATTTTAGAAGTTCTTGAATGTCTTTGAAATTCATGGTTTTTGATGTCCAATTTGTAGTTCTGATGTTATTTTTATGTTTTGATCGCATGAGCGAGTTTGTATGATACTTTTAGACTTGTGTGCACGTTTGGTTTGAATCTCCGGAGGCTCGAATGAGTATCAACGCATTTCAGAATGGCTTTGAATTGAAATAGGATTTGCTGGTGTGCTGGTGCTCCGATGTCGCAATTGCAAGCACTAGCCTCCCAGTTGCAAAGTGGGCAGGGGTGGTCAGATGTTACAAATGCGACTTTTCCCTTCGCAATTATGAAGTCATTACAGGTCTGGGTTGGGGTCGCATTTGCGACCACTTGGGCGCTTTTAAGAAGGAAGTCAGCTTCGCAATTGCGACTTCTGAAGAGGCTGTCATGGTTTGTAATTGTTGCAACTGACTAAAAGGGCTGGGAGTCGGGAATTAGGCCTCATATTTTATACTTTAGAACCCTAGACTCGGTAGAAGGCGATTTGGAGAGGGGATTTTCATCTATAAATATTAGGTAAGTGATTGTACTCAATTTTCAAATATATTTCATGATTATATCTAAGATTTTACATCACATTTATGAGAATCAAATAGGAAAATTGGGAAATTTTGTCAAAGTTTTGAAAAACAAATATTTGAGTTTTGTGAGTCGATTTGGACTCAGATTTGAAGACTAATGACATATATCAATTCGTGGTATTATGGGTAGTCGGAATCTATCCTCCGACCCGGGTTTTGACCGGGTTGGCTCAGGTTAGACTTTTGTTGACTTTTTGAGAAATGTGTAAAGATCATAGCTTTATCTATTGTAATCGGTTTTCCTTGCATTGTTTGATGATATTAAGTCATTTTTGGTTAGCTTGAGTTTTGTGGAGGCAAATTTTAGGGAAAAGGCTATTTTAGAGGGTTGATTGGGCCTAATTGAAGTAAGTATCTTGCCTAACTTTGTGTAAGGGAACTACCTGTCACGACCCAAACTGGATGGGCCGCGACGAGCACCCGGTGCCTTACTCAACCGAGTACCAACATAACATATCTTTCTTATCATACTATTATGGTAAATGAGCTAGAAAACTCGTCATGAGATAACAAGAATGAAACATAGGGGAATACTCAACATA